CTCTGACCTTCAGCCTTAAACGCAGCACTGGGCTGTCTCTCTTCCATGACACATCTGGGAAACGTCTGAAACACAGAACTAGGGCTTATGACAGGCAGAAATTGTTTTCTGAAAAGGAGAAGTCAGGCATCTTATTTGGGACCACTGCAAGGGCCGAGGTGTTGGGAAATAGCTGTTTTGTTTCTGGTGAGAGTTTCAATGTGGAAAAACAGACTGAGGGTGCTGGGTGCTCACTCACCCACAGCATCCTCCTAGTCAGTGAGACCTCGGGGCTCTTCCCTCTCGTCCCTCCAGGAGGGGTCAGCAGGGAAGTCGTCCTGCTTCCGAAACTCACCACCCAGCGCTGCCAAACTGCATGCATGACAGTGAATCATATGTTCATTATTATCATTTTGTACATTTAGAATAAGTCTTCAATTTCACTGTTATAATTTTTTCTAATTGGTCTTCTCACTGTATGTTATCAATCTATCATGTATTAATAATTATTTTAAAGTTAAATATCAATGAAAAATTAATCAATAATTACTAATGTCACCACTAGAAATGTATCCCCCTTTAGTTTTCTCACAGATTGTTGTCTATTTATTATTAATTAATAAATATATTTAAACTAAGCATTGATGACAAAGTACTTAATAATGAATCATATTACTATTAATAATGTATCCCTTAGGAAGTCTCATCACTGATGTTCTATTAATTTACTATTCATTGATAATATTCTTAAACTAATCATTTATGTTCAATTAATCAATTATGCACCATGTATTATTAATAATGTACCTATTTCTTATGTAAATGTCCATTTACTGTGTTTTACGTACTGGAGCACAGTGTGAGAGGTGCTGCTGATTGGACTATGCAATGAAAAAGATGAAGTTTATAATTTGATGAGACATTTTATTTGCTTAACTTCTGATTGTCTACAAAATCCTTATGACAAATTTTGAAGTACCCGTCCTTCCCGGATGGGGACAATTATTTATTTAGGCACAAATAGACGTTGAATGTGTTGGTAATATATAATAGGTTTCACATGTAAGTTAGCCACTTATTTGAAACTCCTGGGTACCATAATCTTTTGATAACGTAGTAACATGTTGTGTCCTGTGGGGTTTTTTTCTACTGAGACACTCACTGTTTAACTCATTGTTTAATCTGCCTGTGTAAAGACTGGCAGACTAAAGGAGATGAGGCGGTTAATGGCTTGGTGTCTGAACGCACCCTGCAGGTCCTTCATGAGGTCAGGAGAGCTCCAGGTGCAAAGACATCCCCAGCAACTGGAGCTGCTTTCCTGACTGATGGAATAAGAGATACGATGGAAGAAAAGGCAACGTGGACAGCACTGGAAATGCCTTCCCTAACAGAATAGTGACACCAAAGTAATTCCACGTATCTGGAGAAAGTGCCGGGATCGGTGACTCCATCAGGACTTCCACCTGCTTGTTCCATTCCCCTATTTGACCTGTGCAGGAAACAGATGGACTGTGGAGAATGGCAGTGGATTCTTGTAAATCAGATGGGGATTTCAGTTTCAGCTGAGGAGTCTCAACTTCCTGTTGAGGCTTCGTTACTGGAGAAAATCCACAGGTCCCCTGGCACTTGTGTGCAGCTACTGGTCTGGAAAAAGTATATCTTCTACGTGTGTATTGCAAAAGCTCTCAGAGTCAGCAGTATGTCTCCACTGCCCAACTTCAGGACTGCACTAACTCTGCAGCCCTCTGTCAGCTAGTCGGCAGGGACCATGATCGCGTCTCCACGGCACAGAACGTCACCTGGGTCCTTCACATCGATGATGCACTGATTGCACCTGTTCAACAGGGAGGAGCAAATACTCCAGACAGTTTGTGAGACCACGTGTTCCAGAGAATGGGAAATAAATCGTCCTTTTTCAGGTTTGCTGCCTCAGTAAAATCTCCAGGAGTCCAGCTGCCTGAGGCACACTGAGGTAGGTCCCCCAAGATGAAGACACGTTGCTCCATCTGACCTCTTACTCATAAGAGACAAGTCAGAGACCTATGGGCCTCTTCTTACATTTGGAGACAACATATAACACCTTGGATATGCTACCTCAACCTATCTATTACGTACCTCGAAAGGTTGCTGGTTTTAAGTGGGGCCCAGAATGAGAGGAATCTTTGGAACAGGTGCAGGCTGCAGACAGTGTGAGCCTGAGAACCAGCAGACGCAAGGGTGTTTAAAGCACCTGTAGCACGTGGGAATCCTGTGCAGAGCTTTTGGCAGGAAGCTATGGATGAATTTACAACACAGTCGTTTAAGATTCTCGAGCCACACTGTGTGGTTTCTGCAGAGATGGTTCATGATTTGTGACACAGCTTCTAGCTTGTTACTGGGCTACAGTAGAGACTGAACATTGGCCTTGAGTGGGCAGGTCACCATGTGACATGAGCTGCCATCATGAACTGGGTGTGGACTGACCAACCAAACGTGCAACTGGCCATGCCCAGCAGCTCTCTGTCATCAAACAGAAGTGGTTTATACAAGATTTGGCTAAAGGAGTTTGTGAAGACATGTGGTAGGCAGAGTAATGACCTCCCAAAGGTGTCCACGTCCTGATCCTCAGAACCTGTGTTTATGGCACCTTACGTAGCAAAAGAGACTTTGCAGATAGATGTGATTAAGTTAATGATCTTGGGGCAGGGAAATCATCTTGGATTATACAGGTGGGCCCAATGTGATCCCAAGGGTACCTTATATATGAAAGAGGGAGGCAGGAGGCTGACATCAGAGAGAAGAAGATGGAAGCAGAGGCTGGAATAACACCACTGCTGGCTTTGAGGAGGGAAGGGGATGAGAGTGAGGGAGTGCAGGCAGCCTGCAGACGCTTGAGGAGGTAAGAGAACAGATTATCCCTGGAGCCAGAAGGAACACAGCCCTGATAACAACTGATGACAACCCAAGGAGATGCCCTGTGGACCTCTGACAGCCAGAACTCTAAGATAACAAATCTGTGTCATCTTAAGCCTCTAAGCTTGTAAAAATTTGTTAGCGCTGCCAACAGGAAGCTACCATATTGGGTATCTGATTTAGTCTCTGCAAACTCAAACTTTCCTTCTATTTGGTCACTGGTGCATTTCCATGGTCAGGCACATGGCAAAACCCTATAAATGTGTGCTGATACTTGGGCAGGAAGGAGTTAAGACCAGGGAGGCAGCAGCCATGGATCAGGGGAGACCCCATTTCTGTCGGAAATGTCTCCAGAGAGCCTGGTGCACAGCCCAGCACAGGGGAAACCAGAGCCAGGCTCTCAGAAATTTCCTCTTCCTGTGGGGCTGCTGATGTGAGAACCTCATGACGGGAAGGACCCAGCCTCCAAGTGGCCACACCCTGTGTGCCTTTCTGTCCTGCGGGCACCGTGGTCTCACCCATCGGCACAGCCGGGACCAGCGAGAGGAGACGCCATGACCCCCACCCTCACGGCCCTGCTCTGCCTCGGTGAGATGGGAAGAGGGGAGGGAGACCTGGTCTGGGGGGGACCCCACCCCACAGCCAGGCCCTGCTCTAGCAGGAGACCCCAGGGCTCAGGAGGCTCCCGGGGAGGACAGGACGTGCTCAGCCTTCAGGGACAAATCTCTCACAGGGAACTCTCTTCCAGGGCTGAGTCTGGGCACCAGGACCCGCGTGCAGGCAGGTGAGTCTGTCTTGAGCTATCACAGGTCCCTCCTCAGTGGAGACAAGGGGACAGCCCTGGGCAGCTGGTGATGGGGAACAGCAGTTCTGGGCTGACTGAGGGGGACGTCTGAGAGGTCCTAGGCTGAGAGCTGGGATCTGAGGGGGGGATGTCTTGGGACCCAGTCTCTGATTTCCTTCCAGGGACCCTCCCCAAACCCACCCTCTGGGCTGAGCCAGCCTCTGTGATCACCTGGGGGAGCCCTGGTACCATCTGGTGTCAGGGGACCCTGGATGCCAAGGAGTACCGTCTGGATAAAGAGGGAAGATCAGTGCCCTGGGACAGACAGACACCACTGGAGCCTGGGAACAACGTCAAGTTCCACATCGCACACATGACAGAGCTCTATGCAGGGCGATATCGCTGTTACTATTACAGCCCTGCTGGGTGGTCAGAGCCCAGTGACACCCTGGAGCTGGTGGTGACAGGTGAGAGGACACTCGGGCTCCCAGCCCCAGGCTCTGCCCTCAGGAAGGGGTCTGCTCTCAGGGGTGTCTCCCTGTCACAGCCCAGCCCTGGGGGTGATGTGGGAGGTGTGAGCCCCATTGACCACGGCTGCCTCCTTCTCCCCTAGGATTCTATGCTAGTAAACCCACCCTGTCAGCCCTGCCAAGCCCTGTGGTGACCCCAGGAGGAAACGTGACACTGCAGTGTGTCTCACAGCGGGGATTTGGCAGGTTCATTCTGATCAAGGAAGGACAGAAGCTCTCCTGGACCCGGGACTCACAGCAAACCTCCTCTGGGCAGTTCCAGGCCCTGTTCCCTGTGGGCCCTGTGACCCCCAGCCACAGGTGGATGTTCAGATGCTATGGCTGTTACAAGAACAACCCACAGATATGGTCAGTTCCCAGTGACCCCCTGGAGGTACTGGTCTCAGGTAAAGGGATTTCATCCTACCCTGTTCATTTCTTGAGACCCCCAAAAATGTCACTGTGAGCCTTGCTTCCGGGGCAGCCTGAGGTGGGAGGGGTGGTGAGCAAACAAAGGTTCCCAGGGCCACAGGCTCAGAGTGTGAGAGACAGCAGGACATGCAGGGCAGGACAGGACACGGGAGGTGTTGGGAGGAACCAGCCCCTGCAGCCCCCAGCCTGTCCTTCCCTCCAGGTGTGTCTAGGAAGCCCTCCCTGCTCAGCACGCAGGGCCCTGTCCTGGCCCCTGGACAGAACCTGACCCTCCAGTGTTGCTCTGATGTCGGCTACGACAGATTCGCTCTGTACAGGAAGGGGGACATGTCCTCGCCCAGGGCCCTGGCTGGCAGCCCCAGGCTGGGCTGTCTCAGGCCGACTTCCCCCTGGGCCCTGTGAGCGGCTCCCACGGGGGCCAGTACAGATGTACGGTGGACACAACCTCTCCTCCGAGTGGTCGCCCCCAGCGACCCCCTGGACATCCTGATCACAGGTTAGGAGCCCAGCGGGAAGGGAGGCAGCCGTGTTCAATGGGGCTCACACCTCCTGCATTACCCCCACGGCTGGGCTGTTAGTGGGAGACAGCCCTGGGATCAGACTCCTTCCTGAGGCCTGACTAGGGACCCAGACTCTGCACAGGCCCTGCCAGGGGAACCCCAGGGGGTGATGGCCTGGATGAGGGGTCGGTCTCAGGGACTAGAAGGACAAAGAGAGACAGGGGTGGTAGAGGAAGGGGAGATTCCGAGATCACAGAGACAGAGACACAGACACGAGGGTCCTCAGAGAGAGGTCCTGGGGAGGTCTCAGCCCAGAACGAGGTGGGGGCTGCCCCACCCCCTTCCTCTCTCTAGGACAGCTCAGTGACAGACCCTCCCTCTCGGTGCAGCTGAGCCCCACGGTGGCCTCAGGAGAGAACGTGACCCTGTTGTGTCAGTCCTGGAGGAGCATGGAAATTTTCTTTCTGACCAAGGAGGGGGCAGCCCATCCCCCACTGCGTCTCAGATCAAAGTACCGAGCTCACAGTACTAGGCTGAATTCCCCATGAGTCCTGTGACTTCAGCCCATGGGGGCACCTACAGGTGCTACGGCTCACACAGCACCTCCCCCTACCTGTTGTCACTGCCCAGTGAGCCCCTGGAGGTCATGGTCTCAGGTGAGGACCCCAACCCTGTCCTGTCTGAGCTCAAAGGGTCAGCTCAGGCCCTGCCCCAGGAGAGCTCTGGGACAAGGAATGAGGGTGAAGGGGATCACCCCCAGGAGAGGGTCCGGAAATGAGAGGTGGAAATAGACAGGATTTCCCATCCCTGAGCACCCACCCCTGAAATCTCAGGCAGGGTGCAGGGCAGGGCGGATGGAACTAGACGTGGGTGAATCTCAGAGGAAATGTGATGAGACTGAGGGTGGAGGAAAGAGGCCCCACCCACCTCCTGTGTCTCCTCCTCAGAATCAGAACCTTCGGGTGTCCCAGCCCCTCACCCCCAGGTCCTGATCCAATAGGTGATGGAAAGTTACCCTGATCCCAGAGAATATTCTAGACTCATCTCAGTCCTATTCCCAATATTGAGGGGAGGGGTCTGCTCCCCAGAGGAGCAGGGAGCAGGGTGGACATTAAGGTGGGTCCACGTGGCTTCTGGGGCTCTGGGGATGGGGCAGCTGGGACCTCTGTGCTGGGCAGAGGGGAGGGAGGTGTCCCAGGTCCCGGCAGGAAGGAGGGACCAGAGTTGATGGGTGGAGGGGCCGGGTCTGCCCCCCTCCCTGAGCAGGACACCCGGGAGCCATCTCTACTCACCAGGGAGCCAGGACAAGTGGAGGGAACAAGGCAGGGGCTTAGTCTAGGCGTCTGGTGGGAGGGAGCCTGGGAGGGGGCGGGGTCTGCATTGGCTCCGCCTCTCCTTGGGAGGAGGAACTTCTGAGAAAGCCTTTCTCCCTCCTGCCCTGGGTTCCTCTCTGAATAAGGGGAAGTTGCTAGGAGTGACCTCCAAACACCCTTCCTTTCTGACCCCCTGGGCATCTGGGATGTGGCTCGTCCTAGACCTGCTCCCATCTCCAGCCCTCTCTGGGCCTGTCCTGCTTCTCCCAGTAACTGAGACGTGTCAGAGTTTAAAAACCAAGGAAGACAGGCAGGTGCGTGTGGTTTCTGTTCATTAGTGTTGAAATTTCATCTTAATATGAGGAAGCCACAATACTATGGAAGCAGCAATGATTTGTAAAACTCCAATGCTTTAGAATCTCCTGTCCCTCATGTATCACACAGCATCTTTCATATTTTCTAAATCCACACCCAACCCAGCTCTGAATGATGCCCAGGCCCCTACCTGTCTGGGAGCATGTATGGTGAGCAGAAGGAATAGAGCCGGCCAGGTCCCCAAGGTTTTCTGTCAAGGCCTGAGTTGGAGACCCGGAAGATGCTGGGGCTGATGGAGAAGGAGGCAATTCTGGGTCTGTTAGAGAGAGGACAGACAGATTCCAACATGCTACCCCTATTTCTAATTCCATAGAGACCCTGAGGATGGAGCCCCTCCCCCACACATGTGGGGTCTCTGATCCCTCTCAAGACAGGAGGCTGCTCAGGTCTGAGTGGGACCTCCCTGTGGTGAGGGTGGGGCCCACACTAGGCACGCTCCTTCAGAGATGGCTCCCCAGGCTGTGGGTACCGCTGGGCACGGCCCCTCTTGCTTCCCTGGTGGCCTCTGTGCTCAGTGCACACCTGAGACTAAGGAAGGACCTGCACCTGCTCATGGGGGCAAGTTAGGGAATCATTGCACAGCACATCCTGTGTATATTTCATTGCTACTCCTCATTTTCTGTGCACATCTGTCTAATGTTCCTCTCTCTTTTTATGAAACTTTTATTTTATTTTAATTTCAGTAGCTGTACAAGACACAAGTGTTTTTAATTACATGGAAGAAATGTATAATGCTGGAGTCAGGCCCTTCAGTGTACGCACCACCAGAATAGCATATACTGTACCCAATAGGTAATTTTTTTTATCCTGTGCCCATTAAATAACTTTATGATCATATATGCCCATTGTTTAGCTTCCACTTATAAGTGAGAACCTGTGGTACTTGTTTTTCCATTCCTGAGACAGGTCACTTAGGATAGTGGCTTCCAGTTCCATCCAAGTTGCTGCCAAAGACATTATTTTCTTCCTTTTCATGGATGAGAAATATTCTGTGGCTTATATATCATATATTCTTTATCCACTCATCGATTGATGGGCACTTAGGATGCTCATATTTCTTTGCAATTATGAACTATGCGGTGATAAACATTTGGGTGCAGGTGTCTTTTTGATATAATAACTTCTTTTCCTTTGGGTAGATACTCAGTAGTGGGATTGCTGCATAGAATGGTAGGTCTATTTTCAGTTCTTTGAAGAATCTCCATAATGTTTTCCATAGAGCTTGTAATAATTTACATTCCCATCAACAGTGTAGAAGTGTCCCCTTTTTAGCATATCCATGTCATCTATTGTTTTTTGGCTTAATAATGGCCATTATGACAGGCATCATATGATATCACATTGTGGTTTTAATTTGCATTTTCCTGATGACTAGTGATGGTGAGCGTTTTTTCATATTTTTTTGGCCATATGTGTATCTTCTTTTGAAAAAAAATCTGTTCGTGCATTGCATTGTGCCTACTTTTTGATGGGGTTGTTTTTTCTTTCTGAGTTCTTTGTAGATCCTGGATATTTGTGGGTTTATACTTTGAGAATATTGTCTTCCATTCTGTAGGTTGTCCATTTACTCTATGGATTATTTCCTTTGCTGTGCAGAAACTTTTTTAGTTTAATTAAGCTGCATTTATTTATATTCATTGTTGCTGTATTTGCTTTCAGGTCTTAATCATAAATTCTTTGCCCAGGCCAGTGTCCAGAAGAGTTTTTGCTACATTTTCTTCTGGAAGTTTTATGATTTCAGGTCTTCCATTCAAGTCTTCAATCCAGCTTGAGTTAATGTTTGTATGTGGTGAGAGATAGGGATCCAGTTTCATTCTTCTGCACGTGGCTATCCAGTTGTCCTAAACCATTTATTGAAAAGGGTGTACTTTCCCCATGTTTTTGTCTGCTTTGTTCAGATATCTGTTGGTTATAGATATATGGTTTTATTTCTAGGTTCTCTATACCAGGTCTCCTCAAATTTTTTAAACAGGGGGCCAGTTCACTGTCCCTCACACCATTGGAAGGCCGGACTATAGTTTTAAAAAAACTATGAACAAATTCCTATGCACACTGCACATATCTTATTTTGAAGTAAAAAAAATCAAATGGGCAAAAACACCCACATGTGGCCTGCGGGCCGTAGTTTGAGGATGCCTGCTCTATACTGTTCCAGTGATCTTTGTGTCTTATCATTATACCACCACCATGCTGTTTGGGATTCTATAGCACTGTAGTATAATTTGAAGTCCAGATAATGTGATACCTCCAGATTTGTTCTTGGTCATTAGCATTGCCTTGGATATTCAGGCCCTATTTTATGATTCCCTATTCGTTTAGGATTGTTTTTCTCTAGTTCTGTGAAGAAGGGTGTTGGTATTTTGATGGGAATTGCACTGAATCTATAAATCTCTTTGGGTGGTATGAATGTTTCAGCAATTTGGATTCTTCCAATCCATGAGTATGGAATTCTTTTCCTTTGTGTGTGTGTGTGTGTGATCTATGATTTCTTTCATCAGTGTTTGGTAGTTCTCCTTGTAGAGGTTCCACCTCCTTCATTAAGTGTTTTCTAGGTTTTTGGTTTTTTTTTTTTTGGGGGGGCGGAGCTGTGGTAAATCATATTGACTTTTTTATTTGACTCTTGGCTTGAATGTTATTAGTGTATTGTGAGGCTACTGATTTGGGTACATTAATTTTGCAATGTAAAACTTTCCTGAATTTATTTATCCATTCCAGCAGTGTTTTGGAGGAATCTTTTGATTTTTAGACATAATGCCATATCATCCACTAAGGAGATAATTTGACCTCCTCTTTCTTAGTTCGGATGCCCTACAACATTTATTTTTAATTATTATGGGTGCATAATAGTTGGACATTTTTATAGTGTACACATGATGCTTTGGCACAGGCATAAAAAGTGAATGAAGGAAATCTGGACAATTACTGTGTCCATTAACTCAGGCATTTGTCATTTCTTTGTATTTGGAACATTCCAATTTCAAATTTTATTTTAATTTTATTTTAATTTTGTTATTTTAAGGTAGATGCTAACATATTGTTGATTATATTCACTTTGTTGTGATAGCAAATATTGTTCATTCTAACTATCTCACTATGTTTTTCCACCCCTTAAGCATACTCACTTTATCCCTCCATCCCCACTACCACGCCCATCTTCTGGTAACCATCATTCTACTCTCTGTCTCCATGACATAAATTATTTTTAATATTTGAAGCTTTCATCTTGCAGCTTGTAGGATTTTCTCCTTCACATTGACTTTGACCAGTTTGATGGTTATGTGCCTTTGAGATGACCTATTAGTAATGAATCTCCCAAGAGTTCAATAACCTTCCTGTATCTGGATATTGAAATTTCTAGGTAGACCCAAGAAGTTTTCCTCCATTATTTTCTCAGATAGGTTTTCCAGGATTTTCACTTTGTTTCTTCTCCCTTAAGGATACCTATAATTTATCTAACATTGTTCCATAATTCTAACAGACTTTGTTCATTCTTCTTGATTCTTTTGTCTTCATTGTTGACTGACTAGGTTAATTCAAAAGCCTTTTCTTAAGTTCTGCTTCTAGTCTGTTGTTAAAACTTTCCACTGTGTTTCATATTTCCCTAAATGATTCTTTTCTTTCCAAAAATTCTGTGATTTTTTAACTATGTTATCTCTTGAGTATATTTTTCATTTCTATCCTGAATTTTTGTTGCTGTTGCATGTTTTTTGTGGTTTTCATCTTTCTCACTGGTCCCATTGGCCATATTTGTGGTCCATATTTTGAATTCTATAACCAACACTACAAACATTGCTTTTTGGTCGGAGTCCATTGCTGGAGAGCTAGTGTGATCCACTGGGGGTGCTGAAACAGCCTGCTCTTTCATACTGCCAGAGTTCTTCTCCTGGTTCTTTCACATCTAGGACCTCTTCCCACAGCTCAAAACAGATGCCATTATTGTTCTAGAGTTCTCTGTCAGGGTCTCTGGTGCTCAGTGTAGGAAGGGAGAGTCACCCTATCCTTTGACGTATGTAGCTAGATACCCACTGTGGTGTTGCTGGCATATTGGGTGGGTTGAACCTCACACCCCTGGGACACTGTTCATGTGCCACTGGTGGTAGACTAGGCTGAGTAACCCCCATTCCCCAGGGTCCTGGGTGGTGTGCCTGAGTCCTGGGAAGAGAAGATCAAGGTTGAGCTGGCAAACTTGCTCTCAAGCCTCCCTGGGTCCAGGTGCTGGTTGTGATAGTGAGGGGTGGGGTGCTCCCCTGCCCCAGGAGAACACTCATTCAAGAGAAGGATGGATGCACTGTGAGCCAGTGACAGGAGGGCCTTCTTGACATTAGCAGCAGCAGGCAGCTGTGGGACATGCAAGCCGCTAACACCTTCCTCTTTGGGCAATGACTGTAGTCTATGTCCCTGCAGTGCACAAAAGCACCCAGATTCCAGCTCCCACTCAAACCCAGCTGCAGCAGAGGTGGCAGAGGCACCAACACGCTGGTTGTGGGGCTGTCAGACTGGTTGTGGGCTGTGGCTGAAATGCTCCTGGGGGGCAGATGTGGTTGTGCCAGGGACTTTCCTCTGGGGATGGTTGGCTCCTTGCAGAAGAGACAGGCAGCTTGCAGCTTGTGGAGAGGACTGAAAACCATGCCCTCCCTTATAGCAGGTGGTAGCTTGTTTCTTAGTGGCACACAAAGTGCTTGCTAGTCTTTTTTAGCAGGAGGGAGTGAGCCCTAAATCCATGGAAGCCTGCGTGTGACAGGTGGTCTGTGAGAGGCAGGGAAGCTGCTCCCAGGTGCCCTGGCTTAATGG